GGTCGACTACGTGGGAGTCCAGCAACATAGCCATTATGCTAACTGCTGGTCCCAATTTTAGACAATTTTCAAGTTAAATATCTTGGATTAATTTTAAAAATCAAAATTAAAAAAAAATCAGCAGAGATGGGAAAACTGAGTAAGAAGCACCCCTCAGTAAAGTGTGGTCATGCCATAATCTCTTCACCTCCATTTCTCTGGCCTGTCAGGATTTGGGGCACAAATACACACATGCCCAGTGTTGGCCAGGTGGGATCCAGCTCTGTTAACCACTAGACCAGGTGACCAGCCCTTTAATTTTATTTTTAATTGCCAAAGAGTACGAGCTCTTCAGAGACTGAAAGGGAGAAAGCAATCCCTAATAGGGTGAGGACATGCCACAATCCAGTCTCTATTTTTGTTGTTGTTGTTGAGAAGTTTTTGCTATAGTGCATGTGCACTTGCCAGAAAGACAGAGAGACAGTCTTGTTTCTCCATCCTGTTGGAATTTGGGGCGTGGGTGCACACAACCCAGTGCGTCTTAATTGGGAGGAGCTGATTCAGCAGCCAAGACCTGAAATTGACTGGCTTAACAGGCCAATATATATATATATTTTTGGTGTGTGTGTGTATGCATATAAATTTGGACTTCAGTTGATAGTCTCTTCACTGTCATGTGACTCAGAAATGCAGGCTGCTTCCATCCCATAGCTCTACCATCTCTCTGTCCTTCTTGGTGAACTAGCACTTACAGTACGAGTGTCCTTCTTTGGCTCTTCTTACAGCTTTTGTCTTGAGGTCTATTTTATCTGATACCAATATAGTGACTGTAGCCTTTTTTTCAAATACTTATTTTATTTAACTTTATTTGTTTTAATTTGACCAGAGAGTGACAGAGAGAGAGAAAGTAAGCGAGAAAGAAAATCACCACAGTCGGCCATGTGGGAGTCTAGTGCCTTAACCACCACGCCATCTTCTGGCCCCCCAAAATAAGGAAATATTTTAAATTTTAGACATTTTTTTTTCTTTTTTGAGAGGTTTTTTGCTATAGGGCACGTGCGCTTGCCAGATAGACAAGAGAGAGACAAAGAGACAGAAAGCGAGAAGTCACCCCCCAGGGGGGATGGCCACGCCGCAATCCCTTCTCTGTTCTCTCGGGATCTTGGGCACGTACACACACGTGCCCGGCGTGAGTTTTAAGCCACCAGGTCCAGGATGCGAACCACGGTCGACTACGTGGGAGTCCAGCAACATAGCCATTATGCTAACTGCTGGTCCCAATTTTAGACAATTTTCAAGTTAAATATCTTGGATTAATTTTAAAAATCAAAATTAAAAAAAAATCAGCAGAGATGGGAAAACTGAGTAAGAAGCACCCCTCAGTAAAGTGTGGTCATGCCATAATCTCTTCACCTCCATTTCTCTGGCCTGTCAGGATTTGGGGCACAAATACACACATGCCCAGTGTTGGCCAGGTGGGATCCAGCTCTGTTAACCACTAGACCAGGTGACCAGCCCTTTAATTTTATTTTTAATTGCCAAAGAGTACGAGCTCTTCAGAGACTGAAAGGGAGAAAGCAATCCCTAATAGGGTGAGGACATGCCACAATCCAGTCTCTATTTTTGTTGTTGTTGTTGAGAAGTTTTTGCTATAGTGCATGTGCACTTGCCAGAAAGACAGAGAGACAGTCTTGTTTCTCCATCCTGTTGGAATTTGGGGCGTGGGTGCACACAACCCAGTGCGTCTTAATTGGGAGGAGCAGTGTATGAGAGATGATCTTTTGAGACACTAGGGGGAGCTCAAACATAGCAGTGAAATAGGATTAAGCCTACTGGAAGCCTGAATTGATTATATCTCAAAAATAATAACCCAAGTCAATACTACTTCCTAATGAAGAATTGTGTTTTCAGCATCAAATGGACTACTCGAATATAAATATAAACTCAGTGTTTAACACTTTGAGTCACAACTTTTATACCTGGAAAGAATCAGATGATTTTCAGAGAGGGTTAAAGCCTAGGAGATGTTCTTCCCACGACCACACTGCCCTTTGGGAGGACAGTGTAATGAAAACACTCACCCTCAAATGTTTAAACAAACTTATCCAAGGTGTGTGCTTGTAAAGCATCATTTGGACCATACAAAGGCTTCTGTGGGAATGATGACGTGACAGGTGGTTAGCTAGAAATGAGCAGGCAGCCCTAAGAAAATAGGACATCAGCCACATCAATCACTGCTTATCAGGAGTTACAACCAGACCCTCCACGAGATTGCCTTCTTCCCGCCCGGCTCCTGGTGCAGGGAAGGCGAGACAGATCCCTTTTTTTTTTTCTTTAATACCTGAGAAAAGCACATAGGGAAGTTTGTTAATTTCCCTCTTATTTCTCATACACACACAGGAATCCAACAAGACATTTTGGTGGACATTCTGATTCCCACTGGGGCAAGAAACTGATTGCTCAGTTCATCCAAATAAGGGACCAGCAGTTAGCGTAATGGCTATGTCACTGGACTCCCATGTGGCCAACCATGGTTCAAGTCCCGGACCCAGTAGCTTGAACTCATGCCGGGCGTGTGTGCGTGCGTGCCCAAGATCCCGAGAAGAGAATGGAAGAGAAGGGATTGCAGCGTGGTCATCCCCCCTGGGGGCTGATTTCTCGCTTTCTGTCTCTCTGTCTGTCTCTGTCTTTCTGGCGAGCACATGCACCCTATAGCAAAAACCTCTCAAATAAATAAATAAATAAATAAAAATAAGGATGCTCATAGCTTCTAAGTCCACACTGAGCATATAGAATTAGGTCACTGAATTCCTCACCTGTGAGAGAAATACCAAGCTCAGAAAAAGGCCTGCAAATTCGAAGAAGCCAGATACCAGGACAGACTTTCCCCTACTAAATATGCATTACCAACTCTTAGAATAAATATGACACCTAGCCCCATGTCCAGTGCAGTTGTCCTCTGGCAGCTGCCCACCTGCATGCCACTCAAGCATGGAGGTGTCCTTCTTTTCTATCAAAAATCCTCACTTTCCTAGTGAAGCTTACCTTTTCCTACTTTTCAAGTGTTTGTGGTTTTTCATTTTGCCTTTCAGCACGGGTCTCTCATCTTAGAGATCTGGGCCTAAAGAACCAAGAATTTGGGGGGACCAGCAGTTAGCGTAATGGCTATGTTGCTGGACTCCCATGTAGTCGACTGCGGTACAAATCCTGGACCCGACAGCTTAAACTCATGCCGGACGTGTGTGCATGCATGCCCAGGATTCTGAGAGAAGGGATTGCAATGTGGCCATCCCCCTGGGGGGTGATTTCTCGCTTTCTGTCTCTCTGTCTCTCTCTGTCTTTCTGGCGAGTGCACGTGCCCTATAGCAAAAAAACCTCTCCAAACAAAGAAAAAAAAAAAAAAAAGAACCAAGAATTTTATATAACACAGCTCTCAACATGCTTTCATCCTTCAACAATGTCATTTTGCCTCTCTTCGTTTTTTGTGGAAGCTGCCACTGAAGGTGTTTTTTGCCTTGTTTTAATTACCTTCTCAAGCTGGTATAGTCGAAGTGCCCTCTGATTCTGTCCTTATTCCCATTTTATTTTCTCAGTTTGTTGTATCTTCTTTCAAACATTCCTGGACTTAAAATACGTATGTATCATTCTGGACTTAACATATTTATGTATCTTTGAACATGTTTTTTTTTAACTTATAGGAACCATATCATGCTAAACATTTTGTCATATTTCTTTCTTTCTAAGCAACTTAGTTTTATTTGTTGCATAATAAGCCACCCTATATTTTTCAACTAGAAAACCACTAAATTTAAGTAAACATATTACAAAATGAATTAGAGCACAATTAAAATTTGCTCTTGGAGAGTAGACACCACAATTCTACTCACTTAAAAATTTCAATAGTCCAGAGTCTATTATTCACATCTATTATGCCATGAATTCACAGGGAATAGGTTCCAGTAGCTCAGGCTCCTTCCCATTGGTTCTCACAAAGTGTGCTTCTCTGGGTGGAGCAGGCTGGGCTTCAGTTAAACCCAGGTCCCTTTCTCTTTGGCTTCCTTCTTTATCTGGTCATTTTCCTTTGCACATTTTAGGAAGCTATCTCTGCTCTTAGAATGCTTCATATGCTCAGTACATACATTGTCTTGGCAAGAATCTTGCTCTTAACTTGTTTGTTCACAACAATGCCAGCAGCATGCTGGGTGACATTGTAGACTCTTCCAGGTTTGCCATGGTAACACTTGTGGGGCATTCCTTTTTGAACAGTACCTATTCCCTTAATGTCTACAACAGCACCTTTCCTATAGATTCCCATATACATTGCCAAAGGAACCACTCCATGTTTTCTAAAAGGCCTAGAGAACATGTATCGGGTGCCTCTCCTCTTGATAGAACATGTATCAGGTGCCACTCTTCTTTCCCTTTGTGTTCATCATTTTGGTGAATTACTGGAAGATGACGGTTCTGGCCAAAAGGTGTCATTGGCCTTTTAAATGTATCTTAATTTTTGTGCTTTAACCTGTATTTTGTGCATTCCTGTACATTATAGTATTTCTGTGGCATGGACTATGCCACAATTTATTAGTTTCCCTTCTGATTATATTTGAGTTGTTTCTAACTTGTTGCTTTTACACACTCTAGTAACATTTTTATCCAGGTCTCCTTGTGTGCATGTGCTCAGATCATCCCCTTAGAGCCTTCCATACCTGTTAGTGCAGTTGTTACAGTTAAAGGGTTGCGTGCCCTTTCAGTGTTATTAGGCATTCCCAGACTTAGTCTCCAGAGACTGCCAAGTCACACCCTGACTAGCAGTGTGGAGAGCCCTGTATGTCCACATCCTTACCAACGCTAGTCAAGCATCCTTGTTTTGACCAAGCTGAAGCGTGGAAAATGGTGTCACTGTTTTAACCTGCATTTTCTGGGTTACTAGTGAGAATTGACTTTCTTTTCAGATGCATGTTGGCCATATATCATATATAAAGTGGGTTTAAAGTTAAACTAAGAACTTTACAGAGATGCCATTCTCTGAAGCAGTGAATTTTAATATCGTATAAAAAAAATCCAACTTGTTACACAAATACATATGTCCTATGGGTTTGTGCATACATCCATATACATATATCAAGGTAATGTCCGATACAAAAAATAGCATTTCCTATGGCCAGTGTTCCACAGAAGTAAGACTGTGCAAACTTTATTTTTTAGTCCCAAGAGATTGCAACACTCTAAGGCAGGATGAGGCAGAAGCAAATCACGTCCACTGTATTTTACAGAATACCTTGCATAGCTTATTTATCTTCACTTGGTAATCTCATCTTTGAATTGAGAAGGATTTTTTCCTTAATAAATTTTATACAAGTTAGTGTCTACTTTCTGTCTTTGTTCTACAACAAACCAGCTTTCTTAATACTGGTTATGTTTACTGTACAATATTAGAGACTTAATAGCTCCAGCTCCAGGGCTCTGAATTGCTTTCGCTGAAGTCCTTGATACAATGACGTACAGATACAGAGAGCATTTCTAACCTTCATCTATATCTCAGGCGATTTTCCAAGGCTTCCATTCTCTGTGTCATTTCTTCTAGTAAATCAAGTTAAGGAAAAAGAATACAAATTGCCCAATTGTATTTACATTCAAATGCAATCAAATTTATCTACATAAAAGTTGGACTGTCCTGAAATATGTCTTTAATTTTGGTTTCCATTTCCATTTTCCAAGTGTTTGAAAACCCTGACTTGTGGGACCAGCAGTTGGCGTAATGGCTATGTCGCTGGACTCCCACGTAGTCGACCGCGGTTCGTGTCCTGGACCCGGTGGCTTAAAACTCACGCCAGGCGCGTGTGCATGCGTGCCCAAGATCCCAAGAGGAGAATGGAGGAGAAGGGATTATGGCATGGCCATCCCCCCTGGGGGTGATTTCTCGCTTTCTGTCTCTGTTCTTTCTCTGTCTTTCTGGCAACTGCACGTGCCCTATAGCAAAAACCTCTCCAAATAAATAAATAAACCCTTGAATTGTAAATTTACAGTAACTCATTTAACATGCTGTCAAGACAAATATATTTCAGGCTATGTACTTTTAAAAAAAAAAAATCAGAGCCAAATAGCTCAGTTTAAATTTGTTCTTTTTGTTTGTTTGTTTGTTTTTGCCATAGGGCACACATACCTGCCAGAAAAATAGAGAGGGAAAGTAAAAAATCACACCCCGGGGGAATAGCCATGCTGCAATCTCTTCTCCTCTATTCTCCTACTAGGATTTTGGGCATGTACACATGTACCCAGCATGATTTCAATCTGCCAGGTCCAGGTCCAGGACTTGAACCACAGTCAGTCATGTGGAAATCCAGTGCCTTAACTACCACACCCTAGTGGCTTGTAAATTAATTTGCCATAGGGCATTTCTGGGAGCCAGAATTAATAATGTTGAGAATGTGATGAAGAGAAGCAAATGAAAAGGAGTAGGGCTTGGAAGGTAGGACATGAAATAAGAAGAGGGGAGACGGGAGTGCTCACCCCTAAGGTGAGATGAGACCTGTGCTCTTTAGACTTCAGAGGTGGATCAGGGAAGGGAGAAGAAATGGGCATTAGCGTAAGTATTTGTCTTCCTTTTAACCTGAAAACCCTACACCTGTCCATTTGGTGGTAGAACAAGAGCCCAGCGTCATCTGTACTAACTACTATCAGGAAGATTATTTTCTTTCCTAAAAAAATTATTCATTTAATTTTATTTATTACTATCATTATTTAATTTGACCAGAGAGAAACAAAGAGAGAGAAGAAGATAATAATTATAAAAAATAATAATTATAGGGGCTGGCAGATGGTGTAGTAGTTAGAGGCACTGGACTCCCACATGGCCAACCACGGTTCAAGTCCCAGATCTAGTGGCTTGCTTTCTCACTTTCCCTTTTCCTCTCTCTCTCTCTCTGTCACTCTCTGGTCAAATTAAAATAAATAAATAAGTAAATAATGTTAAATAAAAAATAATTATTTTAAAAAATAATAATAATTATAAAATAATAATTAGAACAAATAAAATTAAACAAATAATCTTTTATTTATTTATTATTATTTTAGAAAGAGGGAAAGCAAGCCACCAAGTCTGGGACTTGAACCACAGTCGGCCATGTTGGAGTCCAATGAATCCAT